ATAGACTACCAAAGAGCCCCTGGAGAACCTACCTTTTCAGAAGTTCCCGCAATTTTGAATAGATTCTGTTGATGTTGCTAACGAAAATTACTGTCAATGATTGTCCCGTTTGAAATAGCATGTTTTGTATGGGAGACGGTACGGTTTGAAATACTTTTTGATAGTTTGGTATCATCAGAAAATGAAAGTATGAAGTACAAGAAAGAAAACGATACGATTTCGTTTGCTGCTATAATATATTATAACGATTAGTTAGCGTAGCTAGACGATTTTGTGGTCTTGACAGTACAATGTTAGTACGAAGGGCAGGAGTCCTCAGGTGAGTACTGAGTATAGATAAAGTATAGTATAGTGTATTGATGTTGTTATTAGCTATTGTTGTTGTAAAAGCTATATACCCTTAAAAACCAATTTTATCGCTTATACCCAAAAATTGTATACTTACGATATTTTAGGCGAGTTTGATGCAGAAGATTCAAGCAATAGTAGATCATTCAAAAATATATACAATACAGACAAAAGAGCTATTGGTTGTAAAGAGTTAACAAGTGCAACGGATACTGATATAATGGTAATTTGAACAATAATATTTAACAGCAACAGTCAACAACAAAAAATAAAAACATATTTTACTGTAAATTTTTATCAAATAAAAAACCTCTATCAAGGTGAAGAACGAGTGACGAAACCAAAATTTGAAACACAAAATTTCTGATATCAATTTTGTGACGAAAATAGTTGGTAGATATATTTTCTGTGTACTGTGAATATAAACTTAATATACATTTGTATATTCAGAACGTTGCATAAATTCTCTCCTTTTTACTTCGAGTTCATACTGACGCAACGTTCCGAATTTACAAATGTATATTAAGTTTATATTCACAGTACACAGAAAATATATCTACCAACTATTTTCGTCTCAAAATTGATATCAGAAATTATGTGTTTCAAATTTTGGTTTCGTCACTCGTTCTTCACCTCGATAGAGGTTTTTTATTTGATATCAATAGTTTTGTAAGCGCTATTTTCAACGTTAAAGATTCAAGGAACATGAATTTGAATCTTTTTCAAATACAAGGAAAATATGGATTTTTAGGTTATTTTTGGATCAAAATCATATAAATTGTGGTTCATAATGGGGAAAAGTGGTTTTTTTTATCTTTGACTTGGGGCTTAAATTGATGGCATTTTCAAGAGAACATATGCAGTCTTTTTCGAAAAAATGCTCGTTATATGTGCGGCCAACGGTCAATTTTTGGTTTTTAGCCAATTTGGCCACCCCCACATGAAATTTTTAAGTCGCAATTGACACCACTTGAGAGCTTATTTTAAGACCTTTCCAACGAATATGCATATGTCCTGGTATGTCAAGTCTAGGTCCCACAGCGACCGTATGAAATAATGGCCATTTTTACATGACCTTTTGCATAGTTTGCCATTTGTACTAACATTTTTGTAGATTTCTTTTAATTTCATTTGTGACTAACCGCATGCACCTCTCCCGACGATAGTCCACCTTCTGGCCTGGTGGGAGGGGACATAAGATTCGGTATTTTATCGATCTTATGCGAGGAGACAAACATGTAGTTATTTCTATTGTTGAGATCTAAAAGAACGCAAGTGTGTTCGACTTTGTCGCAATAAAGGAATGTATGTTTTGCGCCAAGTAAATTTTGAAAAAAGAGAGTATGTATTACGGCTGAATCAGTTATTGGAAAAGGAATACATGTTTCGCACCAGATAAATTTTGAAAAAAGAGAGTATGTATTTCGGCTGAATCAGTTGTTGGAAAAGGGATGCATGTTTCAGTTTTGTTGGTTTGGATAAAAGAACGTAAGTGTCTTTGTTCTGGAAGTGGGCTTTGGTGGATCCTCAGGATCATCAGAACCGCTCCCAGTTCTGGAAGTGGACCCTCAGGATGGGCCAGGGCATTGTCAAACCATAGTCTGGTCCATCCTGAGGATCCACCAAAACCCACTTCCAGAACTGGGAGCGTTCTGATGATCCTGAAGATCCATCGAAGCCCAGTTCCAGAAAAATCATCGTTAAACATGCATCCCTTTTTTAACAACTGATTCAGAATCACTTACTTTCCTTTTGCAAAATTTATTTGGTGCGAAACATGCGTTCCTTTATCAGCAACTGATTTAGCCGGAAAACATACTTCCCTTTTACAAAAATTTTTTGGTGCAAAACATACTTTCCTTTTAGTAAGACAGAATTGGCAAAACACATACATTCCTTTTCCAAAATTTAAAGCGAAAAAAAAACATACGTTCTTTTAGATCTCACCCATAGATTTGTTGTTAAATTTTCATATTTCATACATTTTTGTGAAAATTCGAATTTTGGTACATTTGGCCGATTTTCGATATTTTATTCAATTTTGTTTGGCTAGTCACAGAGCATATTTACAGAATTATTGGAGTACATTTTGACCCATAAAATACTTCAAATGTTAAAAGTAACATTTACAAATTAATGTCAATATACACAAAAAAATATAGAAAATTTGACAACAATATAATTTCCAGGGCGCTATTTTGCTAGGATTACATTTTGAAGGTGCAAAAAGTGACAAAAATGAATATTATGAATACGTGGCTAAAGGTACATCATAATTACTAGTTAATACCAGAATATAAACAGGATGTGTTTACTGTAATGGTTCCGAATGAAAAAACTAAAATTCATTTTGTTGACATATACTTAACATAATTCTAGTCGACAAGACAACAACAGAACGAAATGATTTTTTGGTTTTTGTCATTTTTTATCAAATTTTAGCTCCGTGTAAAATTTCAAGTCGATGTGTGAACATTTAAGCGAAAATTTTTAGATTTTGTATGAAATTCAATGCTCTGATTGACGAATGATTTCTGAAGAAAAGTTTGAAGAAAAAAAGTTTGCGGCGAGTCATGGTGCTTTAGTAAATTGGGCATGCGGAATTCAAAAATACATGAATTTTGAGCAAAAATATTGACGGAAGCATATGTTTTGGATGACTTTTTTGAAAATCGATGGGCGAAAAAAAACTTCGTTGCAAAAAAGTTTTTCCTAAAAAATCAAAAGTGCATTTTTGTGATGGGCCTATCTTATAGAGCTTCTCTAATACTATCTACAACAATACTAAAACCAATTCACTTTCATACAAATTTATTGAAAAAAATTCATTTGAAAAATTTCGAACTTCAAATCGACCGCGCCAAAATTGAGCCTTAGGTAGGCCAAAGTGTCAGAACAAAAGTTGTTACTCTCGAACAGGTCTACAAAAGCCGCACTAGCCGTTTTTTTCATTTTCAAAAATAAAAAATCGATGCACCCTAATCTATATATATATCCTACTATTCCATAGCTTAATGTAATCAACTACGTTTCACATTAATCAATATCAATAAAATATATTGGGAATACAGATTTACATTTTGCAGTAACACATTACAATTGTAACGAAGCATTACTGTAATGCTATTACAGTTGTAATGTTAGATTTTAGCATTACCAGTAATAGCTATTGCTATTCTTATAACCTTACTGGCAATGCTTCATTACAATAATAATGTGTTACTCAACGCTGCCGCTAATGTCAAAAATCCAACATTAATATTGGGACTTTTCAACACAACTTTAAGTTGAAAATATATTTACAATAGATGGCCTCTGTGTCCGCTCTAAGCCCATCATTGAAATTGCTCATCAACCCAATCAATTTCAATGATGAGCTTAGAGCAGACACAAACTCCATCTATTGTAAATATATTTTCAACTTAAAGTTGTGTTGAAAAGTCTCAATATTAATGTTAGATTTTTAACAATACGGGTAACACATTGTTATTGTAACGAAGCATTACTGTAATGCTATTACAATTGTAGATTTTTAGCATTAAAGTAATATCTAATACAATTGTAGTAGCTATTAGAAACATATAAATGTTAATGTAATGGTTAGTAACATTACAATTTTAATGCCGGTAAATCTGTAATTGGGAATAGATTAATAATAATGTGAATAATATTTTAATAATTTTATTATCTTGCAGTCTCTTCTTTCAATGCCTTCTACTCGAGAAAAACAAAATAAGCAGGTTGGAGAAGAAATTTTGGAACTGCTCTCGAAGCCAACTGCTAAAGAAAGATCCTTAGTGGAGAAATTTAAATCAGAAGGTGGAGCTCAAGTTATGGAGTTTTGTCCACATGGTACACGAATTGAATGTGAACGTCAGCAATCCTCGCCCAATGATCCAGAAGATGATACTGAAGATGATGTTCATAATGATCACGGTGACGTGGATGATAATTGTGACATCGATGATATGAGTAACGAGAAGCATTCTGTATTGAATACTCATTCCACAATAAACTTGAATATGTCTGGAATTGCTAACAAAATTTCAGATTATCGTTGTAATAAGTTACATTTCAAGAAAATAATTCAATCACACACTGATGAAACATTGGGAGATTGTAGTTTTCTCAATACTTGTTTTCACATGGACACCTGTAAGTATGTCCATTATGAAGTTGATTCACAATCGAGCAATTGCAAATTTGATGAAAATGACAAATCCAATCGAGTTTTGGACCTTCCGAAACTAAAAGTAGTAGATCCAAGCACTGCATTACATCCAGCTCAATGGATTCAATGTGATTTACGGTTTCTTGATATGACAGTATTAGGTAGTTTGACTAAAATATTTTAATTTCAGCATTATTAAAAGTTTGAATTTTTAGGTAAGTTTGCAGTAATAATGGCAGATCCTCCTTGGGATATACATATGGAACTACCATACGGAACAATGTCAGATGATGAAATGAGACAATTAGGAGTTCCTGCCCTTCAAGGTATTCTTTTACTTTTATTTTCATAAAATTGCATTCCATAACAAAATAATCAATTATATCTTTCTTTTAGATGATGGCCTTATTTTTCTTTGGGTAACGGGCAAGCCATACCAAATTTAAAAACTATTATTCCATTACTGCAAAATTACTATTAATATTTTCCCATTATTTCCAAGTTCATCATTCACGATATATTCATACGTTAATTTTAATAGCTTTTGAATATATGAGAGTATTTTATTCAGCCATTAATCAGCTATAAGTTCTATATAAAATACTATATTATAGATATTTTCAATAGATATAGGTAATGGAGGCAAATCGATACATACACCTTAAAACATACATGGGCACAGGACGGGTGTAAGCCCGGATAACCCCCCTTAAATCGTTCGAAGCCCCCTCCGGACGGCAGGCGAAAATTCTTTAGATTTGCTAAGGATTTTCGTCATAAAAGTGATTTCCTTTTTTTTTGCTCTTCAAGTTTTTGAAGTGTGGAGAAAGGGGTTTGAATTTGCTAGAGTTTCTCGCGACAAAAAATGTCTTGATTTTTCCGTGTCCATGTATGCCTTAAAAATTAAAAAACCTACAACACAAAAATTCAAACGGTTGTTATACTTAGGTTCGCGATAGAGATACACAAATTCGACAGTATCAACCGTGTGACGGCATTCACGTGTACCATCAAGAGTGATGTTTCTGTTTTCAGCAAATACCGATCCGACATTTTCTCATCACAGATTCTCAACTTTTTTGTGTTTATTTTGATCGGCCAGATTTGAAAGTAACTGTAAACAGTGAGAGATTTTATTAGGAATGAAAGCCAATTCGATCTTGCTTAAATATGATATTTTATTAGAATATGCCTATATTTATATTATTAGGGGAACATCGATAAAGTAGTTAAGTGGCTCAATTATTCTTCTGGTATTTTGGATTGTTTGAGAATTTAAATGAGACCTGTGATATGTGCTGGAAATGAATCTTGTAGAGCAGTTGTATCCAACCTGGTCCGAAGTGTTCTGGAAGTCGATCACTCATGCTGTTACATCCTTGTAAAGGATGTAGGATTTCATTATTTTTTCAATTTCCCGATTGGAAAAGTGAGAAAAATTAATCTTGAGTTTTTTTATCTGTTTTGACCGTAACATTTGTAATGTGCACGAATTGTGTTGATCACACGATCGCGCGAAAAAAAGAGACTTCAATGTAGATAAATTTCTATGAGTACGCAGAAGAAACGTGATTTCAAAAATCTACACTGAAAAAATATATAAAATAGTACTAGAAATGCGATAAAAAAGGTGTATCGATTTGCCCCTAAAAGTATGTCTTCACCTTTTTGGTTTGACACTGAAACTATGACAACTAAAGAAAAATCTAATGGTGCAGAAAGATTGACTTTTCAATCTAGTATCAAATTGTATTCACAGTTTTCCAATATCGTTTAATTTGGTTGAAAATTTGGCCAACACATCTTGTACACTACAGTACAGGTTTTTTAGTAGTTGTAGCAGATTCGTTGATCGACATCTAAAACATTTTTCAAAAACCTACTCAGCTTTATCATGAACATTAGAAAATTGATGGGAGAAAATTAAATTATTTTTATTCAATCCTAGGTAACGGGGCGTGCGATGGAACTAGGCCGTGAGTGTCTGAAACTGTGGGGATATGAACGATTTGATGAACTTATATGGGTGAAAACAAATCAATTGCAACGTATAATTCGTACTGGTATATAAATATTTCCTCTTGTATTTTTCAATTATTTTCTTTCAAAACTCATATTCTCTTTCTTGGTAATTTCAGGTAGAACAGGACATTGGTTGAATCATGGAAAAGAGCATTGCCTAGTGGGAACGAAAGGAAATCCAAAAAATTTGAATCGTGGACTTGATTGTGATGTTATTGTAGCTGAAGTACGTGCTACCAGTCATAAGCCAGATGAAATATATGGTATAATTAAAGTCTTAAATTTTCGTGTATCCTCGTAATTATATATATATAATTTCAGGTATAATAGAACGGCTTAGTCCAGGTACTAGAAAAATAGAATTATTTGGCAGGCCACACAATGTTCAACCCAATTGGTAATCTACTTACCTCCATTTACTAGAATTTGCTTTAATTAACAATGTCTGTCATATATATAGGATTACTCTTGGAAATCAATTAGATGGCATTCGCTTGGTCGATTCCGAACTTATAAGCCAATTTCGAAAAAGATATCCCGATGGAAATTGCATGGCACCATTGGCACCATCGGCACCATCGCAAAAATCATCAACCAACTAATTATAATTGTGCGACACTCAAAATGTGACAGAAACGAGACCCACCGTTTTTACATAATTTGGGTATGCTGATTTCAATGGCATCACCCGTTTTTCTCTATCACGTCAGGATTTTACACAATTTTCCTAGAGAGTTTTCCGGAAAACCAAAATTGGCTGTTTATACTCTAGTAACATTTTGAATTCATGCAATATCCCAGAGTGGTGACCTATCAGGCGTTGTAGTACGGTTCAAGTATAGCCCAGCCACACAATTCGTTTTGAAAAAAAATTGGGTAATTTGAAAAAAAAAAAATGATTTGGTTATTCCTCTCTGAAGTCACATTTTGAAGTAAAAATGGTGTCCATTCAAACGCTCTGAAAATGAGTATTTGGGGGTTTTTTGACATGAAAAGACCGAATATGCCGCTGTTTTTGCTATAAAATTGGGTTTGAATACACTTACCACACGTTGAAATTTTTGGTTATTTTTGACCATTTTGGATACTTTTTGTGTGGTAAGTGTATTCAAACCCAATTTTATAGCAAAAACAGCATCATATTCGGTCTTTTCATGCCAAAAAACCCCCAAATACTCATTTTCAGAACGTTTGAATGGATACCAATTTTACTTCGAAATGTGACTTCAGAGGGGAATAACCAAATCATTTTTTTTTTTTCAAATTACCCAATTTTTTTTCAAAACGAATTGTATGGCTTGACTATACTTGAACCTACTACAACGCCTGATAGGTCACCACTCTGGGATATTGCATGAATTCAAAATGTTACTTGAGTATAAACAGCCAATTTTGGTTTTCCGGAAAACTCTCTAGGAAAATTGTGTAAAATCCTGACGTGATAGAGAAAAACGGGTGATGCCATTGAAATTAGCATACCCAAATTATGTAAAAACGGTGGGTCTCGTTTCTGTCACATTTTAAAAGTTAAAAAATGACGCACAGTGAATTATAGACTTTCCAAATGACTTTTGTGTGAAATCAAATTAAAATGCCTGAAACAAATAATAAAAAAAATCTTTTGTTGTTACAAATCGTAACAAATGCATAGGAAAAGACTATCGTTGTTAATTTATTGCAAATTGAGGTAGAAAAGGACTTCTTTACAAATATGAATGTATCAAAAATTAAATTCAATCAAAAGATAAGTGTCAAATCATTTTCACAAGAAATTGAGAGAATGTAACCCATTTTTGTGGTTAATTCCACATTCCATTTTTTTATATTTATAGCACAATGTAAACCTCGAACGTGAAGTCTTATTTTGTATTCCAATGATTCATTTATAGCAAAAAATAATGAAAAAATTTGTAAAAGATTTGCCCTGTAATCATCGCATCACTTTCTTGTTACTTAAGTATATTTTAGAATATAAAAATAATATTTAAGAATTGACTAGATTAGAACAAATTTGTAACGTAACGTACATTCCAACGTTAAAAAATGTAACGTTTTAATCCATTTTATGGTCAATTTTGTGTCAAATGGAACGGAGATTACGCGCATAGTTTCTAATCAAATTTACACAGAAAGAAAATATCAGCCGACGCTATACGCAAAACCGACTGCTACGTGCGCTCATACGTTTTTACATCTTTCACATCTATTACCATACGATTTTTCGACTGTGCGAAGATACGCACTTCTACCATTCACTTCCAATAATATTCCGTTTGACAACATAACGTGAACACAGCCCAATACATTAAGTGTTAAATTAAAAATGTAACCAATCGTTTAAATAAAAAAAATAAACAATTCATTTGAAAAGAGATTTGTGTAATTTGATTTAAAACTCTGCAGAAGAACTTTTTTATATTTCATTGCATCTATTTTTCTTTATGTGTGAAATTAGTATTTTGAATCTTTGAATAAAAACTTAATATACATTTTGAATGTTCAAATGCAGAAATTCCTCTCTTTTAACTGTCATTATGGACTGATGACGCAATGCAACGTTCCGAATATACAAATATATATTGAGTTTTTATTCACAGTACACAGAAAAATTATCTATCATTTATTTTCGTCACAAAATTGATAAATTATTGTTTTTGTTGAACATACTGTATCAGTTAATCAAATGGAAAAATAAGTGAAGAAAACTTCTTATTCTGATACAAATTTAACGTGATTTTATTTTTAAAATGCTAACGTTTTCGGAAACAATGTTTCCATCATCAGGCGAGCTATAAAACTGAAATCTGTACAAAAATTATGTCATATGTTTACTACAATTATTAGAAATTTTAGTTGATGTTTAAAATACGAAACAAATTTGAAAAGAGAAAAATAATCATGTTTACATTGATGACAATATTAAGTGATGGTATTTAAATTGAAAGATATTTAAATTCAAATAAAAAGATAGATCCGATGAAAGTAGGCACCCGATTCACATATTGAATATGTCATCTGTTGTAATTGGTGATGTTAATTTGAACATTAGAATAAGAAGTTTTCTTCACTTATTTTTTCACAAAATTGATATCAGAAATTTTGTGTATCATATTTTGGTGTCGTCACTCGCTCTTCACCTCGTCAGAGGCTTTTTATTTGATATCAGTAATTTTTCAAATTAAAGATTCAAAACATCTCCACACACATGAATTTTAATAATTTTGAAATACAATTAAAATATGGACTTTAGGGTTATTTTTTTGGCTCCAAATGTCATAAATTATGGCTCATAATGGGGACGGCCAATTTTCAGTGGTGTGTGGCAAGTGGATGTGCCTCGGTGACCGTGGGGACAAAAGTCAAAAAGTGACTTTTGGAGGCCGGCCAGTGCCAACATGGTGGCCATATCGAAAAGTGCCGGAACAAGAAAGTCTTAGTTTTTTATGAACTTTAATCACAGAAAGTTTCAAAAATATTAGACACGAGTACGCAAAATTGCGCACACACATACCAAATGACTTTTATAGGAAAATGATATGAAATTTATAAAATGCTGAATTTTTGGAACTAATTGATCGAAAGGTATTGAGCTCTAGAATCAGAATACCGATGTTTCAGGTGTCAACGACCTCATTGAGTGCCATCTATGGCCATAAAACTGAATTTGGACCCTTTTCTTGAAAGAACCATATTTTGAAGACAGGTGGGCCGATTTTCGAACTTTGATATTTTTTCTTGATCTATGGCGAGGTCTTTCCAACCATACAACAATCGCGGCTAAAGGCCTTCCAGGTTAGAATTTGGAAATTATTTGGACATTACGTGTATATCTAGTCGACTTTTCAACACACAGATATGGTTTCGTCACTCGCGCGTACTGCCGTCCGCTGTGATTCATGTATTGAGTTTCTACTTGGCCACTCAGTGGTGAAAATGAAAGGGGAACATGACAAACATGCGCCAATAACTTGTAGAGCAAAAAAAGTTCTTCTGTTTTTTGCCGGAAAACTCTAACAAATGAAAAGGATTTTTCGCCAAAAACCTTAGCAAATCAAAGATTTGCTTCCATTTCTAAACTTGTTGAGCAAAAAAAGGTCTTTATTCTGTGTGATAAAATCCTAGTAAATCGGAAGATTTATCGGCTGCCCTCGTGGGAAGAGGGGGGTTAGCTCGGGGATTTATCCGGACTTACTCAGCATCAGTGCTTATTGATAGTTTCGAGTACCACATTTTTAATAAAACTCCGAAGCGAATCGAGGTATTTTTAGTATCAAATAAAAAGACTCACTCGAGGTGAGGAACGAGTGACGAAACCAAAATTTAGAACACGAAATCTCTGATATCACTTTGTGATGAACAAAATTATTAAAATGAAAATTTGTGCAACAAATCGTTCGCACAAACTGTTTTGTATTGCCTCAAAAAATTCCCTGCATCAAAAAATTATTAAAATTATACAAGGTGTGCCAGTATAACTGTCTGGTTTACTTTACGAGAAATTGAGATTTTTCAACCAAATTGAAATTTTTTAGCGTTGTGTAGACTGTAGACGTAGAGGGAGTCTATATATTTGTAATTAATAAGACATATTTGATTTCCCAAATTTTTTTTTCGTCTTGAATACATCAATGTGTCAGAAAGAAATCGGGAGCAGTACGAAAGTTGCTTTGGTTGACTATATGGCCCAGTCGTGACCAAGTCTCGAAACACAAATAGTTTTCCTTTTATATCATAAACTATTGATGGAAGTAAAATAACTGACCAGCAAAACCACGTCTTTATGTTGGCTACGCCAGGCTCATATTTTACCTAACCTTATTTTTCCTTATTTTTCAGAAAAAGGCTCAAAAATCAGTCGTTGAATAAAAAACATTATCCAAATACTATTTTAAATGGTCGGGAACATTTTAATATCTCCTTATAAGAACATATTAATTTCATTGAATTTTCATTTTCCGCATGAATATGTCCGATTCAGACAGTCCGAACATATAAATCCGACAGTTATCTGGCACACCTTGTAGATAATTATTATAATTGTAAATTTTGGTTTCGTCACTCGTTCTTCATCTCGACAGGGGTTTTATTTATTTGATATCAGTAATGATGTGAGACACATTTTCCAAATTAAAGATTCAAAACATTTCTACACATGAATTTGGCAACAAATTCCATAAAATAATGCTATATCCTTGAAAATGTATTGATCTCTAGAATCACAATACTACGGGTCAATGACATCATTTAGCGCCATCTTTTGGAGACAAGTAAACGGATTTTGAAACTGCAATGTTTTCTTATCTTACCCAAGGGCTTTTCAATCGTAGACCAATCGGGACCAAAGGCCTTCTAGGTGTGAATATATTATATATATAGGGACAAAGACCTTCTCGGATATTTTCAGATCTATTGCTTTTCTTTTTAAATGATAACGCTTGAAGAGAGCCATAAAATACCTCAAATATTATTCAACTTTAACATAATCAATTTGACCATTTAATTTAAAACATGCTAACTACATTCAATGATTTCTTTCGCACCTAGAATGCAGCTTCTCTTTGTCATATTAAAACAGACACAAAGGTAAATATTTAAAACGTTTTCTTGTCACCATCTTTAATAATAATAACTACACCGAACAGCGTTCCTTCGCCTTGGTGGTTTATTGAAAATAATATAATTAAATTAACAAATATAATATAATGAAATTTTATTTTTATCAAGCATTTTTGAGAGTGAAAATGAAAAATTATTGTTTCTTTCCTTTCATGTAATCTTGTTGATGATTTTGATATTTTGAATTGATTTGAAAACATTTATTTAATTTATCTTTATGGTTTTTTGAAATTTATTTGCAATAGGGAAAACATAGGGAAAAATCACCGTTAATGAAAGAGAATAGTTGGTTGATAAACACAACTTTGGCATTAAGAAACGTCAAAATAAAAAATGGCAATACCAAAAAATAAAAAGGAAAATTTTAGTCGCTCCCCTCTGATATGAAGTAAGCTTTTCGATAAGACTTCACAACAATTATTTCGTCGGAATTAAAATATGAATTAAACTTTATATCTATGTTTATTGTGGAAAAAATATTATTGTAAAATGAAAAAGAATACGAATATAATTACTGTGTGGTGTATTTACAATCAAAATGTAATAAACAAACAACAATTAAAATAATAATAATGCAAGGTCAAGAACCTGGAACATCTAATGATAGATCATATCGATTGAATAGCAAACAAAAACTGAGTCGCGAGGCCAGTCCGATTTCATTGGACTTACAAAGGTTTGTTATGTAAAAGTTTTTATACCAACAATACCTTACCAATATAACCTTATTATAGACCACTTATCATTCCATCATCTGAAATGTGGATTGATGTAGGAGTTCAAAAAAGTTTCAGTACCAGTGATATCGCTTATAAAACAGAAACGATTAAGCATAAAAATAGAACAGGCAACTACTCACTTTCAGAGTTTGCTTTAAATTCCATTCAAAATCAAAGTGCGCGATTATCCCGAAGCTATTCCACTTGGGTGTCCGTTGGTGATCATTCACAACTTCCCTCGCCACATGGGCAGCAAATGTTATCTTCACAACAACAACTTAGCGCATTAACACAACCTTTCACTGCTACTGACCTAATAAAATCAATGAATAAGAAGGTAAAAGCTTTATGATTTTTAACAAAATTAAAGTAACTTCAAGCGAATTATGTAACTATGTAGTGTAAGTTTTAATTGAATTTCATTTGAAATTCAAATTGATCGGCGATTTCATTACTTTATATGACTAACTCTTTTTCCAGTTTTTTTTCCCGACAAAATAGGTCAAAAACAATTTCATTGTTTAATTAATAAATTACTCTTGGTTAACTCATTCGGTGCACAAATGCGCGCTGGGGGTTTTCCGGTTTGACCCCCACCTGAGGCAAATTTTTCAAAATTTACCCCCAGGTAAATTTTTAGGAGATTTACCTGTTTGACCCCTCCTCTGAGATTTTTTTTCTCAGATTTGCAATATAAATGTATCACCCAGTACAAATCCGTCGAACAAGTCGACGACAGCGATTTGACAGGTGGACCACGCGAGAAACTTATCAATCCCTATTAACAAAACTACACTTGACAGTTATTGTATTGAATTTTGTACGGGATTTATTTATTATATAAATATAAAAAAAAAACAATGTGAAATGTGAATAAAAAAGATAAAAAATTAATGTCGTGACGAATTATGTGAAAAAATAAATATTATATTTCAATTACTCAGCGGAAAGTATGCTTGAATACGCGTATACCGCTGCACAGCGGTACCAATATATACAAACACATAAAGGTCGACCCGCTTTAAAAAACATTTCTATTTTTTACACCTAATGACGGCTCATTATTTTTGTTTTTATTTTATTAATGCGTGGTATTATTGCTCTGCTGTGCAGCAGCAGCAGGAACATATGGAGGTTAGGTGTCCTCCTGAGTCAATTTTATTGTATTATTTTTTTGTAGTTCGTTTATTTAATGCACTTTTGAAAAATTAACAAAAAACAAATGAGGAAAATTGATTTATTGTTTTATTTTATTTAAAATATTTTCATTTATAAGTTTCATCGTTGTGCCAAATTTTCTGATATTTGTATCAAATGTGGAACAAAAGAGTATCATATAGCGAACAGAAATTTGAAACAACGATGAAACTTATAAATGAAAATATTTTAAATAAAATAAAACAATACATCAATTTTCCTAATTTGGTTTTTGTTAATTTTTCAAACGTGCATTAAATAAAAGAACTACAAAAAAATAATACTATTGTATATAAAATTGACTCAGGAGGACACCTAACCTCAATATATTCCTGCTGCTGCTGCACAGCATAACAATAAAACCACGCAATCGCATTCATAAAAAATTTACATTTTTTAATTTAGTTTTATTAATAAAATAAAAACAAAAATGATGAGC